CATTTATCTAAAAAACCCTCAAATTTATCTTTTATTATAGCTGAGTAATCTATTGTGTGAAATATCATACCTTTGTTATCCATGCCTCAGTTGATGGGAATTTGGGTTGTTCACACGATTTAGCTATGACACATTCTGCCACTATAAACATGAATGGACATATACTGCTGTGGTAAGATGATTTCAGTTCTTTTGGAAAAGAAATATCTAGGAGGGAATAGCTGGTTTGAATGGGACCTCCAATTCTAACTTTTTCAGTATTCTCCAAACTGATTTCCGTAATGATTACACCCGCCTGCACTCCCACAAACAGTTGAGAAGGATTCTATTTCCCTGCAGCCCCTCCAGCATTTTCTATTGGCTGACTGCTTGATGTTAGCCATTCTTTCTTGGGTGAGATGAAATCTCAGTCTTATTTTAATTTGCATTTCTCAAATGACCAAAAATTTGGAACTTTTTTTTCATATATTTACTTGCCATTTGTATTTCTTCATCTGAAAAGTGTATTCATCTTAGATGCCCATTTTTGGATTGGGTCTTTGAAATTTAGGGGTCAGATTCCTTTTAATTCTTTATATGCTCTAAATAGAAGGCCATTGTCAGAGGGACAGTCAGCTATAATTTTTTCCCAGTTTTTGGGATCTCTTTTTGCTGTGTTGGAGATTTCCTCTGAAGGGCAGAAACTTTTCAAAAATATGAGATCCCAGTTGTTGATTCTTTGAAGTGTTTCCCACGTAGTTTGGTTTTTATTCATGAACTCTCTACCTACCCCTATGTCTTTAAGATTTTTATCTACATTTTCCTCCAGGAGATTTAATGTTTCTGTTTTAATGTTTAAATCTTTGATCTATTATGACTGCAGTTTAGTGCATGATGATAGACACAGGTCTAATTTGAGCCTTTAGAATGTGTAGAAAGACAGTTTTTCCAGCACTATTTATTAAAGATGCTGTTTCTTCCAGTGAATGTGTTTGACCTCTTTGTCAAAGATAAGGTGGCTGAGTATTTGTAGCTGTGTCTGCATCTTTTAATCTATTCCATTAATTCTTAGGTCTGTCTTTATGCTAGTACCATGCTGATATTATTATGGTAGCTTTATAGTATAATTTCAGTTCAGGAATTGTGATAACTCCTGTCTTTCCTTTGTTTCCCAGGATTGCTTTTGATATTCTGGTTCTCTTCTGATTCCAGATGAATTTTAGGAATATTTTCTTTAGCTCTTTGAGGTATACTAATGGCATTTTAGTCAGCATTGCATTGAATCTGTATAACAATTTTGAGAGTATGGCCATTTTCACAATGTCATTTCTTCTTATCCATGAGGAGTATCTTTCCATTTTCTGAAGCTGTCTTCAATCTCTTTTCTCAGAGTACTGTAATTTTCAGTGTATAAATCTTTTACTTCCTTTGTGAGATTGATCCCTAAGTATTTTTTTAATGTTATTATGAAAGGCACGGTTTCCCTAATTTGTCTGTTGGTGAGTTTGTTGTTTGTGTACAAAAATACTAATTATTTTTGATTGCTGATTTTGTATCCTGGCATGTTACTGAATTTGGTTATTAGATCTACAAGACTCTTGGTGAACTTTTTGGGCTCTTCTATGTAGAGTATCAAGTCATCTGCAATTAATAATAATTTTACTTCTTTTATAATCATTATTCTGTTTATTTCTTTCTCTTGTGTAGTTGCTCCAGCTAATGTTTCCAGAACTATATTGAAAACGAGTGGAGACAGTGGACATCCTTGTCTTGTTCCTGATTATACCGTGAAGGCTTTAGTATATGTTGGCTATTATTTTCTCATAGGTGGCTTTTATCAGGTTGAGATATAGACCATTTATTTCTATTTTCTGTAGAGTTTTTAATCATGACTGAGTTTTGGACTTTGTCCAATGCTTTTTCTGCATCTATTGAGATGATGATGTGATTTTGTCTTTGACTGTTGATGTGGTGTATTACATCTATGGATTTGCATATGTGAATCATCCCTGCATTCCTGGGAGGAATCCCACTTGGTTGTGATGTATAATCTTCTTGATGATTTGGTGTATTCTGTTTGCTAGTATTTTATTGAAGATTTTTGCATGTATATTCATTAGAGAGATTGGCCTATAGTTCTCATTTTTAGTTCAATCTTTCTCTGGTTTTGATATCAGAATAATGGTTGCCTCCAAGAATGAGTTTGGAAGAATTACATCCCTTTCCATTTCATTGAAGAGTTTGAGAAAAGTTGACATTAAATCTAGAGATTTTAATTTAATTTTAATTTCTTGTAGAATTAAGCTGTGAATCCATTAGGCCTTGGGATTTTCTTCACTAGTATTTTTTTTTTATATCACTGTCATTACATTTTCAATTACATTCCGTGTTACTGGATTATTTAGAGTTTGTATATCTTCTTGACTCAGCTTTGGTATTTCATATGTATCTAGGAAACTGTCCATTTCCTCTGTGTTTTCTATCCTATGAAAGTAAAGATTCTGGAAGTAGGTATTGATGATCTTTTGTATTTTCGTAAGGTCCGTAGGGATTTCACCCTTTAATTTCTAATTGCATAAATTTGTATTGTTTTTTTATTAATCTTGATGGTGTGTGTCACTTAATTGTACATGTGAACTTGTACGTTGCTTTGTAGCTCATCTCTTTTAGGCTTTCTAGTGAGGAAACAAAAGCCTAAATGTCTTAAGGTTAAATTTAAATAGCAGCAGAGCCGGGGTTAGAACACAAATCTCTCAATTTCTAATCTAGTACATCTTCTCCTTATATTTTGTACAAAGGAGTGGTCCGAATGTGAAACGTTCTTAAACTCCAGGCATTAAAATAATTGTGCCTTAAGTATCTCTTAGTGGTCAATAGTCTTCTAAAATGAAAATTACTTTCACTTTTGGCTAATAGGAAAAAAGGAAAATTTTCTGGGCACTCTTGTATATAAATGTTTGGCTAACAAAATGCACATCTATTTGTTGAATTCAGTTGTAGAAGCTCATGCAGACTCCCATTTTTTCTTTTTGGAAAAGGGAAACACCACATAGAAGGAGCTGACCATCTGCCTTTGAAATAGGAATAATTCTGGGCTGCCCCATAACTCACGTAAATGTTTCAGTTCACACAGGAAAACTTCCTACAAAAGAATATTCATGGAATTTTATATTCTGAATGCTTTGCTGCCCTAAACATGTGTTCTCAAGCCTAGGAACAAGTCTGTGCTCAGAATCCTGAAGGTTCGCTTGCTTGTGGCCACACTATTCAGAGCAACAGGTTTTCTTTAACCAGAAAACATTTCCTACACTTGAGTTTCTTCACATTAATGCAGGTGTTGGTGGGAAGGGCACAGGGTCCCTTTTCCCAGTCCTCCACTTGCAGCTGTTTCCTTGCTTCTCATTCTGCCTGCCCAAGCCCTGCTAGCATGGAAGGTCCATGAGGACCAACATCGTATCACTGTTCTTCACTGCTCTGCCCACAGAACCAGGCCTGGCACAAAACTGAGTTTCTTGTAAGTGTTTATTGACTGAATGATCAAAACAATGAGTTTGTTTAAGTTAATAATAGTCTATCCATTACAAGTTTGTTGCCAACAGAAAAGAGTCATGTTTTGATTCAGAATACCAGATATGTGCCTGAAATTTATGATCAGAATTTTTTTGTCTCTGTTTGAATATCATTTGTTGTAAATTATCTTTTAAACTGTTCACAAAATACTTTTAGTATTGAATGCCTTCTAGGGGCTGGGGAGATAGCTCAGTAGAATAAGCACTTGCCTGGCAAGTGCAAGGTCCTGAGTTCAATCCCCAGTAATGAAAAAAAAAATATTGAATGCCTTCCTAATGCTTAAGAATGAGTTTTAGATCAGAACATGAATTAAGTTTCCAATCAAAGTAAAAAATAAGCACATAAGGAGAAAAGAAAAGGAAAGGGAGAAAGAGAATGGAAGAGGAAGGAGAGAGAGAGAGAGAGAGAGAGAGAGAGAGAGAGAGAGAGAGGATAAAAGAAAAGAAAGAGAAGGAAGAAGGGAAAAAGAAGAGGAAAGGAAGCAGAAGGAAGGAAAGGATGAGAGAGAGAGTCACTGTCCTCAAAATGGCATGGATGTCAAAATACTGATAATACACAAAAAATGACTTTTTCAGACTTGTCTGTTTCTTGTCTACAGCTGAAAATGTCATAGTTGTGGACAGATTTTTGGTTAATATTCTAACACATAAGAGCAATTCTCCACTTTCTAGGTTAGCATTGACACACATATGTAAGTTCTTTATATTCTTAGTGTATTTGCTAGTGGAACCTCTTAAGAGAGTGCAAGCAGAAGTCACTTTTTAATCAAAAGCCTACAGAAAGAAAAATGTCCTGGACTGCATGCCACGGTTACCACGCCACGTTCCCTGTACCTACCTAGTGTCAACTCAGCCCTCTGTAGAGGAGGCTGCCACCACGCACATTGCTGGGCACCTTCAGCTCAGGAGCAGCCAAAGTCTAAAGGTGCATGTGAGTGGACATGTCCTGGGCCACCCTCGACCTGCAGAGGTTGCAGCCTGCCCTCCTCCTGTAGGATAATGAGGCATGCCCCACGCAGGACACATACAGCCCCTGTGGTAGCCAGCTCAGCAGCACACACACACACACACACACACACACTGTCCTCCTTTCTCTTCTCATCCTCCCCATTCATTCCTTCCCTTTTGAGTCCTAGGATCGTCTCCTTAATGAATCATCTTCTTAATGAATCATCTGTACCCAAATCTTTATCCCCAGCTTGGATTTATTAAACGGATCCTAAGAAATAATGCTTGAAATAAAGACAAAGCAATTTGTCTTCTTTTCAGAGTCTGACACTGACACAACTGTGACTTGGGAAAGCAGCTTTCGTGGAAGGTATCAGCATCACCTCTGAGATACAAAATACGCTGCTTTATCACAGTGATTTCTGCTCTATATAATTTAAATATGTGTGCCACTGGGACCCTGCATGACTTTGTAATCTCAGGCCTGCTTTGTTTATTCTGCAGATTCTTCTGGGAACCCTAAATTCGTCAAGTGCCGTTCACCTGAACTAGAGACTTTTTCATGCCATTGGACAGATGGGGGTCATGGCTTAAGGAGCGCAGGATTTTTGCAGCTGTTTTATTCTAAAAGGTGTGTCCTTCCATCTTTCTGATTTTCCTTTCCACACAATTTGTCATTAAAGTGTACTGAATCACAGGCTGTATAGGAATTGAGTTGATTTATTTTGAAGGCCTAAATGCAGTCATTCATTTATTTTAAAAATAATAATCAAGAGGCCGGGGAGATGGCTCAGTAGAATAAGGGCTTACCTGGCAAGTACAAGGGCCTGAGTTCAATCCCTGATTATGCCAAGAAGAAGAAGAAGAAGAAGAAAGAAGAAAGAAGAAAAAGAAGGAAGAAGGAAGAAGGAAGAAGGAGAAGGAGAAGGAGAAGAATCAAACCATTACTATGTGGTGGGTATTGTTTTAGGCTCTGGAGATACCAAAGTAGTGATTTTTAAAAGATAAAAAAAAAATAAAAATAAAAACCCTTTGGTCTCATGGAGATTTCTTTCCAAGATCGGGGAGACAGATAATACAAAATTAAGTATTAGATGGTAACATCAGGTTATTAAAATGCATGCAAGTGTATGTGTATCAATGTGGATATGCAGGAGTATGTAAATACGAGGGACAATGTGTGGTGGAGGCTTGAGGCAGGGGTGTCATACAAGGCCTCTCTAGCATGCTGTGCTAGAGCACAGAAAGAGAGACAGGGAGAGACACCACAGGAACAACTGGGAGAAAGACTGAGCAGAGGAAGTTGCAAGTACAAACTGGGGCAGTGTTGGCATGTTTGAGGAAAGCAGACGGCCAGCAGGGGTGGCACAGATGGAAATGGGAGCCAGTGGTATGCGACGGGGTCACAACGTTTCTTGGGGACAGACCGGCCAAGTTTTCTAGGCCAGTCAAGACTTTGAATCTTCATTTGTAGTGGAAAGTCCATAGCTGGGCTTGGAAAAATATATGTAAAGATTCAGCTTGAGTTTCCATGTACAGAATAGATGATGTTCTTAAATAAGTTATATTTAACAAGAACTGTAATATTTTCTCATTTTTACTAAAGTCCTGAAAAAATAGCAGAGGAACAGGGAAACAATGATCTTGAAATGTAGTCACCACCCAATTAGTTTATTTTGAACCCTTTACTTGGTGTTATTTTCTTTTATTACTCTTACATACATATTTTTTACCATTTTTTAATTGACACACAGCACTTATACATAGTTACAAGATATAGTGAGACATTTCGATGCACATGTAGGTTTAGAATGATCAGGTCTGGGAAGTGAATCTGTCACCTCAAACATTGCCACTTCTCTGTGCTGGGAACATTCAGGATCCTATCTACTAACAGTTTTGAAATATTCAGTTAATTACTGTCACCATAGTTACCCTACTGTACTGTAGAGCACTGTACCTTTTACCTTTTTTAATTTTAGCGTGAAACACTTCAACATCTCTTCTTTGCAACCCAAAAGAGGCTCTAAACCAAAATACAGGGTTAGAGAGGACCCCTAGGCTTGGTCCCTTGTTTCTCAGTTGGATAATGATGCTGTCTATCCGCTGAAACCCTGGGAAAATCAGGAAGGTGCAGCCAGTGTTTGGGAGGTTTTGCTCAGGCCCACAAAATGTGTTTCAGCTTTGCTCTACCACTCTGACCCTGGTTATAACATTGGCTCACCAGACAACACTGAGCAAATTAGTCAAGCTGTGTATGATTCAGCCTCCTCGCTTGCATAATGGAGATAGCAGATTTGCCTCATGGCTCCTTGTGAGGGTTTTGTTAGATAATATTCAAAAGTATTTGGCAGAGACCTTCACACATACTAAGTATTTAATAAGTGGTAGTGGCAGGCCAGGGAGATAGCTGAAGGGTCTAAGCACCTGCCTGGCAAGCACAAGGACCAGGGTTCAGGTACCACATGCTGTGCTGGCCACTGAACCTGGGTGTGGTGGTGCACACCTATAATCCCGGCACTAGGGAGGCTGAGACAAGACAATCACTATGAGTCTGAACTGTGTAGCAAGACCCGGTATCAAATATATAACTAAATCTTAAAAAAAAAAAGTGCTGACAGCTTTTCTTACTGTTGGTAGTACAATAATAATTTAAAATAACAATGCTGTAGGATCTCAATTCTAGACTATACATATGATTTCTTAATTCTTTAATGTTGATGTTATTGGAATGCTGTAAGACGTGTGTGTGTGTGTGTGTGTGTGTGTGTGTGTGTGTGTGTGTGTGTGTTGGCAACAGGGTCTTGCTATGCAATTCAGGCTGGGCTTGAGCTCACTTTATAACCCCGGCTGGTCTTGAACTTGCATCAATCCTCCTGCCTCAGTCTCCTGAGTGCTGGGCTTACAGGCATGGGCCACCATGCCTGGCTTTGTAAGACCATTTTAATACAAGCTGGATGCTTAATTTGGAGGTAACAAATACTTTGTGCTAGCAGCCACAAGTAGCCTTAGTCAACTGCTAGTTGTGAGAAAGGGCTCTTGCATACATCAAAAAGTGTATGTGAAAATAAACTGATTGAATGTAAAGTATACCATTTATTTACCTTCTAGTTGACATTGCAGGGAAATATGGGCCAATAAAACAACTGGTCTATATCAATATATTCAATCATGAAGCTGAGGTGTTTGGTAACATGCTCCATATGTGTGAAGTCATTGTGCTGTTTATATAAACAAAGAGACACTGTGTGTGCAGTTTTTGTGCTTTCTGTGAACAACACAGAGCTCGCTCCATCAAAATGAATGGTTTCCTCATTCAGTCCCACACAGTGAGGACAGCACAGATCCTCTTCTTCCTTGTCATTGCTTCCTAGAGTTCAGTTCCCACATTTCTCCTCGCAGACACATATAGCACTGCGACATGATTTTACCCAACACTGGAGTCACTGAATGCAGAAAACAACAGCGAAAGGGGTGGCACAATGGGCCTTCAGGTGGCCTTTCTATCCAAAGCACCAAAGAACTGGAAAACATCGGGCCATCGCAGGCGAGCCAGGCACAGGCATACAGGCACTTCTGTGTGTTGCTTGGTCCTGTTCCGTGCCAGGTGAGCAGGCCCAGGAGGCAGCCCCAGTAGTGCGGCTGGTTGCGAGCAGTCTCTGCCACCTGTGATGGAGATAGTGCTAAATTCAGCCTCTGAGCTTGAGGAGCACTCAGCATGAACGCAATGCCAGCATGGCAAAAGCAGGCCTAGGAAGCAGGGCAGAGCTTCTGTGCCCTCAGCCCCTCCGCGGGCTGCGGCACTCTCATCAAAGGAAGTGGGGATGAGAATGCCTGATGCATTCGGGGTGCATCTCTGCAGCTCTGCCATCCTCTCTAATAACCTCCTGCAAAAATTACTCTGACCTTCTCAGACCCAAAAGCTACAACTCTTGTTGCGTAGGTCCTGCTTTACCTTGGTCTTAACCATCCAGTAGAAAAGTATGATGACAAAATATAGGAAGTAAAGCCATGCTGTTATGTTGAGCTGTGGGGGACTCAGGTCAACAATTTCTGACATTGCCAGTTAAACAGAAGACCCAATGCTATTATGGGCTACTGGACTCTCTTAGAATATTTTTCTGAGTTTACACACCTATAATATTCAAATAACGGAACTTAACAAAAAAAGTGGTATACAGGTGAATGTCCATTTTGTATCTGTGTATTCAAAGTGGTTAGGATAGATGTATAGTTACATTCTGTTAATGAATAGAATGATTTGTTCTAATGGTGTTTGTAAATAGGATCTCAAGTCCGCATCTTGTACAGCAATTAACCACTAAGAAGAATGTATGCAGTGTGTTAATTATTGAAACTGTCCTAGCGATTTGATTTGAAACTGTCTCATTGCCATTTGTTTATCAATAAAATTATGAAAAAAATTACTCTGATCTTTTTTTAAAAGGATTTTTTTGGTTTGTTTTCCATGCAAAGTTGTAGGGGAAATTAGAGGGGGGCAGAGGGACATTGTTACATTTTTTTCCAAGAAGGTTAAATGTTAAACCAAAGCGGGGAGGGGTGTATGAGCTACATGCAATGAAAACAATTGTCCTTAAAATATAAATCTTTTATTTTTATGATTTCTTCTCCCATTGGTTATCTCTAGCTATAAAACATTTCTTCTGATCTTTTCCAATTTTTGATGACATTCAAAAATGTGTTATGAATCTTTTTATAAGATAGTCTAAAAGCAAACCTAATGCATACATCATTCTGGAGTAATTTCTGTAAATCCATTTTGTTGTTCTATGTAGAAATTTAATCTAGTGAAGTTGGTAATGAAATATCTGTTTCATGAGTCCATTTCTTTTTTCTTTTTCTTTTTTTCTTTATTTTTTGCAAAGGTCTAGGTTTAATAATTTCAGAAATTCTTTAAATATTTATTCAATTTAGCTGTTTATTCAGCGGAGTTAATGGATTTGAGGTAACCTAAACAGGACTTCCCACAGTCTTCATGGGAGTCTCCTGGTTACATCGCCAAAGTTAAGAATCTATTAAACATAACTGACATTACCTACCTATTACCAATCCAGACTTACTAAGCACTGCCTTATATCTTTGGACTATCTTAGCACTTTGTTTTATAATTTTTATACTATAAGTTATTCTAAGTAAGTTTGATATCTCCACTGCAATTATATAAAACGCTTGTGCCACTGAAAATTTTATTAACCATTCTTGAATTCATTCTTAGTTTGAATGTCAAGATCAGATTTTAAAATACTGTAATTCAATATCTTACCTAACTTCCTAATATTTTAATTTTTTTTCCTATTACTCTAAATACATACACACACATATGCACACAAACATCACCCTTTCTTTTGCCTTTAACTCACTTTTCCCGGAAGGGATGACTCTCTCATCCAAGGACATGTACTATTTAAGAATCTCTGCTAGAATTTAAGCAACAATTCAGTGTCTCAGACCCTGCAGTAGCTTCTATTTTATTTCACAGTTTATTCCAACAGCTGATGAGCAGCTGTCCAAAGGACCCCCAACCCTGCACAAGTCTCCTCCTAGTGCCAAGGAGATCAGCTTGATAAACAGCTGTGAAGAGAGAAACACATGTCTCCACCCTACCTCTCACTCTTCCTTTCTGGTCTGACCTTCTTTACAGCCTGCAGTGTTCTCATTGCCCACTGCTGCCCTCACCTTCCCACAGTGAAATGGTTCCAAGCCTCCGCAGGCATCTGCTGCCACAGGACTGGGATCAGTCCTGCCTCCTTTCATAACTAAAGATTTCATTGTTTTATGTCCCCTTTACTTATATGTTCACTACTCAATAAATATAGGATAGTAAACAATAAAGGGGTAATGGATTATCCCACCTAAGTAGCAATTCCAATATAACAAGTTTTTTTCTATCATTCTGTTCCCTCTTACTGTACTCACCTCCCTTATGCCCATACTTATTAGCGCAACACTTTTGACTACTCTAGTTGCTTCTTTTTTTTTTTTTTTTTCTTTTCTTATTGCCATTTATAAAACTTTTACTCATCTTTCGGCATTGCTACAAACAATTTCATGACCCTTCCATGAACAGAATAATTACTTCTCTCTCTGTATTCTGGAAGACCACACTGAATGCTACCTCTGAATGCTTGCCCACACTGCTTTGTAATACAATTTTTTAGTCTTTTTTCTTGAGACAGAAGTTATTCCTCAGGCACTCATATGCCTCCCATACTGCCTAGCTGAGTGCTTTATATGTAATGAGTTCTCATTGAATATCAATGGAATGACTGTAAGAGACCAAACGAAGTACTGAGATGATCATGTCTGAGTGAGTCTTCTAGCCCTACAGTTAGGAACCAAATCTTATCTGTCATTAAATCTGCACAGCACTAGTGCTGACTGTAATGTATGAGTCGGCATGCAGCACAACATCAGCATGCTTCTTTTGTTTCTTTCATCATGAGATGGAGAAGAACACAGGTACATAGATTCACTGTTATCTGGGACTCTATGATTTAGGAGTTGGCTCTCTGTGCTGTTTTAATAAAGCAACATTTTTCAACCTTGAGCCCCAGAACCTTCATCTGTAGAATACAGATAATAAAGTAGCTCCCATAGGAATGGATTATTTAGCAGCAGACACAACATAGGCACTCAATAAATAGATGTTTTCACTGAAGTATCAGGTCACCTCCTAACAGTCTTCAGGCAGTAATAACATTGTCTATACATGTGATATTTCTTTGGACAAAGTGCTGCTGAAATGTAAAATATTTTGTCATAGCATACGTTCTTATTCATTGAATCTGTCAGGCTCTTACTTTGACTTAAGTGGGGATGATTAATCCTCTTTTACTCTCCCTTTCAGGAACACTCGTGAACAGACCCAAGAATGGAGAGAATGCCCCGATTATGTCTCTGCTGGAGAAAATAGCTGTTACTTCAACTCATCGTATACCTCCATTTGGACTCCCTACTGTGTCAAGCTAACTAGTAATGGTGGTATGGTTGACCAGAAGTGTTTCTCTGTTGAGCAAATAGGTAAATCACAGGTTTGTTTCATTTGACATAGTTTTAGACAATGTGAGTAAATGCAGTTTTTAAGTATAATCAAGTAGAAAAATTTCTGAATAGTTTTTTTTTTTAGGTACATGGAGTCTGTTTTACAAGAGATAGGATCATCGGGTAAACAAATGGAAAGAGCAGGAAGAAGTCAAATTGACTCCAGCATTTAAAACTTTAGCAATAAGTGTCATGAAGAAGAGTGGAAGTGTTTTCCTTTAGAAGTCTTCAAAACTGGATTACAAGGGCCAGTTAGATAGTTCAGTGGACTAAAGTGCTTGCTTAGGCAGGCGCAGGGACTGGGGTTCAATTCCTGGCCTGCGGTGCCCACCCTCCCAGACAGCAATTGAGACTGGGCCTGATGGCACAGGCCTGTAATCCCAGCACTTGGGAGGCTGACAACAGGAGGATCACTACAATTCAGATCTGTGTAGTGCGACCCTATAGATCCTGTACTAAATACATAAGGAAAAAAATTGGTACAGTTTTATGTGCCAGTACTAGGGGAAAATTCAGTGTACTCTTAAGATCACTTTTTTCCCAATTATTTTACACAATTTTATTTCAGATTTTATGGAATACATTGTTTATATAATCAAAGCCAAGACTCTCTTTATCACAAAGCATAACAATTCTAAAATTTTACATTTACAAAACAACTACAGCCGAAGAACATATCATAAGATCTCAAAACAAACACTGGCAATAATCAGCTCAATGAGCTAAGTCAAACAGCCACACAGCTGTCCTTTTACCCACCGTGTAGACACAAGGGAAAAACAAAGCAAAACAAACAACTAAAATTAGAATGGCCATGTTTATAATAGTGTAAACACAGAAATGAAAAGAAGCAAAGAAGGATGTTGAATAGCTGGATTTGGTGCCTCAAAATCTACCAGCAGATTTTGCTGCTTCTTGGAATTCCTTTTTCCTTCTCCCAGATATGCTGCTTTTATACGTGACTTCCAAAGCCTCAGCATATGGAAACATTGGGAGAATCTGGCTTGGTGCTACAGGCAGAAACAAGTAAATTCTAATAATCTGACGTGGACAGAGAAGATGAGAATATTGCCATAAGCAGAAAAGATAACTTAAGGGCCTACTTTAAAGAAACTATAGTATGTAGTGTATGTTCCAGCAGTAGGTATAGCTCTTTAGATGATGATAAATAGGATAATAGAATAGGGTAGTTGTAAGAATAGAGTTAAGGCCTGTATTCTCACTTTGTCACTGCTGACAACCAGCTCTCCTCACTCACTGGGCTGGCTTTCACTAAGTGCCTGCATGTGTACAATGAGCAAAATATGTCAAGTAAGGGAGCCAGGCATAGTCCTGAACCTCTGTAGTACACTGTGCTACAACCCATTTTGAGGAATGTTGGACTTCAGGTAAGTGGAATACATAGCGACCAAGGTGGAACCCAAAGGCATAAATGGTTAATTCACCCTGAGGGGTAAGGAAGGGCTGCTCAGGGAAGGTGACAGTTCACTTTCCCCTTAAAACATGAATGAGAGTTGCCAGTTCTTACAGTGGATTGGGGCTTCTCCCAACTAGTTCTAAAAATGGCAAACCACAGAGAAAATTCAAGGATGCGGGAAGAGTTGGACAGACCTACTGGTCAACTGGAGAAGCCATTTTTCTTATATGCTTCACAAAGGAATCTAGGCTTTACCTTATTGCAAAAAATGCATTTTCAGGTGCTTAAGCAAGGAAATAAGCAGAGGCTATAAATAACACTCACAAAGAATTCACCATGTATAATAACCATGTGAGATAGGCTTTATTTAATCCTCATATTACAGATGAAGCAGCTGAGGCTCAGAGAAGTTAGATGAGTTACTCAACATCAGTGAGCTCATAACTAGAGCTGGGATTTGAACCTACAGATTCCATGCTCTTAATCTCAAGCCTGTCCAATACCACTGGTCTTGTTATTAGCTTCTCAGAGGCATTAATTTTTCCACGTGTAGATGGAAGGTTAGAATAGGACATTGTTCAGATAAAGGTAACAAGCCTATGACAATCAAGGCAAAAGATGGCAGGCAGAGTTCCAGCAATAGCACAAGAGCAGAAGAGAGGGACAGAAAGCATGTGCAAAGAAATGATACATCTTGAGAAAGATGCCAATCACCAAAAGCCTCAGTTTTCACTTGTATTATGTAAATATTCTACCGCATCGCGGGGTTTTTCATGCATTTGAGAAACATATTAGTCATTCCATTGGGCCATTCAGTGAATAAATATCATGTTCTTACCTGCCATTAGTCAGTGTTTTATGTGCTGGGGAAAAAAGTCTATCCCAGGAGGATTTAATCCCCGTAAGACTTGAAAGAGACAGTGGCAGGGAGGACTAGCAGAGAAGGAGAATCAGGTGTTGGAGAGGTTGCAGTTTTAAGTAGGGTTATCACTGAGACAGCAATATTGGAGTAAAAAGGGAAATAAGATAATAATTATAATCCTGAGCAAAGAACAAGGAAAAGGTGACATGGAACGATTACAGAACTTTTCAGGCAATTGTAATGACTGATTTTACTTGGAGTGAGATAGGTAGCCCTGGAACCCCACCCTCCCATCCCCTGCTGTGAATTGACTCTGGGGGTGGGGGTGGGGTGTCTTGGGTGGTAAGCAAGCACTCTACTGCTGAGCAACACTCCTTGTGCCTTTGGGAAGTTTTAAATGATGACTGATAGCCCCTAACTTAAGTTGAGAGGAGAATCAACCCCTGTGTCTGCTATATTGAAGACCATGTGGAAAACAGGCTGAAGGGAGACACCGCAAGGAGAATAGTATGAGGCTAGTGCACAGGAGGGAAGAAAAATAATGACAGGAACCAATGTGTAGACCTGCAGACAGAGAGAAGTGGGTGGAGCCCGGATGCATCTTGAAACTGCAGCTACAGGAGATGTGGTGCTGATAGAAAGATGAGTCAAGGTTTTCCTTGTTTTAAACCTGAGAAACTGAAGGGCTAGAGTCACCATTGACAGAAATGGGGAACAGGAAAAAGAAGCAAGTAAGTGTTGGACAGGAAAGCCAGCAGCCTGGCCCTGGATATATTAAGTTTCAGATACTTCTAAATATTTTATGTGTGTTGTAGAGGTAAGGGAGAGGTCATTACCATTCTTATTAGAGTGGTATTATACCTTCTTCAAAAGGCGCTATATCCTCTATACAAAGTGGATGGGGAAAATTTTAAGATACAATATGAACAATATGTTTTAGAAATTTTCCATCAAAAGCATTTTTATAGTGTGATATCTTGAGGCTTTAGTTAGCAATATTCCCCAATCCCAAAGAGTATTAAAGAGCAAGGTAATATTGCCATTACATGGTCATATGTGCTTTGAATATTCTTTAAATTTAATTTATAGGCGCTAGAGATTTAGCTCAGTGGTAGAATGTTTGTCTAGCAAGCTGTAAGCTCTGGGTTCAGTCCTGGGCACCGAAAAGAAAAACAAAACAAATAATAATAATAATAATAAATTTAATTTATAAAACGTAATCATACATATCTATGACTTAAAAATAGGGCAAGTCTTTCTCTATTTTTTAAGTAGAATGTACTTCACAGTGGCCAGCAAAATGCCCTTCTAACATAGTTCTGTTGGATACTCTGGATCAAAACAAGAACTTTCTCCAATGGCCTCCAGATTTGTGAATCAATGGTGGGAGTTCAAAACTGAGCATGGTGGTGTGTGCCTATAATCCCAGCACTGGGAAGGCTGAGACAGGAGGACCACTATCAGTCTGAGCTGCATAACAAGAACCTGTACCAAATAAATAAATAAATACATTTTAAATTTTTTTAAAAACTAATGGGACTTCACAGTATAAATCGGTAGACTTATCTCTGATCAACACTACAGACCCAGACTTTGCAGCGCTGTAAACTACCATCTACATATTGTAGAAAAGAGAATAAATATTCCTCTGCAGCTGTGAGTGACTTTCAAAAGCCGCAGTAATGAGAGCCACCTAACAAAACTTTACCGCAGGCTACTAAAAATATAAGTTTACATATAATTCCTAGCTTATGAATCTGCATTTTTCTTCTGTTACCTTTGGGAAACTGGTATGTGGTCCTAATAATAACATAACCGCTCTATGTGAAAATGTAGACTATCTGAGGAGAACTTGAAGAAAACACTCTTTCAAAATGGTTACATGACAGGTGAGCGGAGGACACAAAACATTAAATCATCGCTATTTCAAGAGAGCACAGTAATACCATGTTTCGTGTGACTGAAGCAACAATCACATAGTGAGATTTCAAAGTAGGGATCATTTACAGGATGCTTAAGATGGCAGTGATGGCAACATAAAAAGGAGTAAGAAAAGGCCTTTGTCCCAGGTTATACACCACTTGGAAGAGAAAAAAAAAAATTCCTGTGACTCTAGAGCAGCCTGTGCTTCAGTTCTGAGATATACCTGACTCTCCATTCCTTTCATTTTGTGTTTAAATTCCTCTGCCGAAACCTCAGAGCGTCCAGGCTAAGAGAACTAAAACAAATATAAAACATGACAAAACTTCAAACAGAAGTTATAGATAAGATTTTATGCTCAAAAAAGAGTTTTGGGAGGGGCTTTTTTGAAAGTTAAAAATATATTATCCTTCATTTTAAAAGTTATCTTTTATAAGGGCTATAATAATAGGAATATTACAAGAATTAAAGTAGAAATGATCAAACTGTACAAACTAGTTTGATGTCTTCAGGGAAAAGCACTCCATTAATACTAGGTTGCATCTCTCTGGGTACTAATTATCTGCTGAATTGTACAGTGCAACCTGACCCGCCCACTGCCCTCAACTGGACTATAATGAACACCAGTGCGACATCAATTTATGGGGATATTCAAGTGAGGTGGGAGCCACCAACCAGTGCAGACGTTCAGAAGGGATGGATAGTGCTGGAGTATGAACTTCAATTCAAAGAAACAAATGAAACTCAGTGGAAAATGGTAAGATGTCACTACTCTTTACACTTTGACTTCCTCACCTCTATTTCTACAATCCATCTTTTATTTACAGTTTGACTTCCTTCTGACCTCCTACCATATGTCCCATTTTATACGCTCATAATTTCTTAATAGAGGAAGGCTTTTCTTGTCAGGAAATAGCATCCTATTATCACCCTCAATATGAGGAGCCTAGGAGAGGGAATGAAAACAATTTCCCTCGTCACCCTTGGTATTTGGTTTAATTACAGAGCATAACTGTGGACTCAAACCACTTAGCACTTTTTGGAGAAGAAATGCGAAGGACTGTGATCAAGGTCACAGTGGACCATAGCCAGATATCCTCCCATGCTTTTAATTGAGGCTGTGCACAAGACTATTAAAATCAGATCTTAAGTGTCTCTAGAAGAGAGAGGGAAGGAGGGAATTTGTCTCTTAGAGATTTCAGAAAGATGTTTGCTACATATCTCAGAAAAATCAAGATCAAATGGTCCTACATAGGCAAGTAGAAAACATATTGGCCTCTGAAACCCTCACTTCCCTTCCAAGTATATGGGAACTCAGCACTTAGATAAATTCCACATGGTGCACAACAATAAGGAAAGAAAGATAATCATGCTGCTCCCAATGCGACAAATTCTAAATCAGTCTAACTGCTGTCACAGCCCTGGTCAGGCCACACAGTTTCTGGCCAAGGATCAGGTTGTACCTACCAGCATGGCACAGCTTACTCTCAGAATTCTGAGACACTAGGCCCTGTTCATTCAATGAACTAATGGAAAAGAAGCCAATTAGAGGGAAGTTAAGTTTGAGCAGGTTTGAACAGTTACAGTGCTGGGATGTGAGACTATGTTTTCTAACTCATTTTGACTTAGACATCTGGTTTGTAACTTGGTGCAGTAAAAGCCTGGATGCTAAGAAAAACAAGACTTTCCAAGGCCAAATGACAATAAACATGCATTCAGAAAAAAAAAACACAAAACATGTATTCAGTAACTTAATTCAGTGAATTAAAATCGTACTTCCTTTTGTTCACTGAGTGATCATTTACACTGATGGCACAAAAGTCATGGTGGGAAAGCTGTTGGCACCTTAGCCTGAATCTAAATGGTAGTTCCAAACTTTACTAGGAGTCACTGCACTCGATAACACCATGCTCTCAGGAAAGACTGGGTTGGATAATCCCACATCAAGATAATCTCGATGACTCTATCAGCCTCATTTAGATTTTTATACATTAAATCTCAATCACTGAGCACATAGCTTTTTAATACTCTTGTGGCACACTGGAAGTATATATAATATATATAATACTATGTGTAATAAATAATATATATATATATATATGTAGTCTTCTGTTGCATTTGGAGGTAAAAATGGGGCAAAAGTGTTTAAACAACTGGACTGCCATCTGAATTAGCTGTTGTCTTACTTGCAGCACTAGTTTTTTATTTGAATGACAACTAATGGTTACTTATATTTAAGCTGTCAAATATTTCTCAAAAAAAGGAATTAGCTTGTCACTTCAAGAGAATCAACTGATATCATTTGTACCACTGATAAAATTTGAAGTATCTAGGCAAATTCAGAATTTTGAAAAATATATAGCACAGCCATGACCGTGATAATGTTCCAGTGGATAAAGATATTCTTAACATAATGCTGTTAGCAAAAGTGATACTTTATATTATGTAATCTAAAAACATGAAAGTTTCAAAAATCTGCACAAGTCAGTGATCTGGCATTTTCCAAATTGCTAATATTAGGTGGAATGAGGAATTGTTTAATTGTCCAATGAATTGTGTACATTATTTTGCATGTGAGGTTTTGAAATTATTATATAAACATGGTGGAATGTCTGAATTGAGCTAATTGATATGTGCATTACTTCATATATTGTTTTTGAACTAAAAATGTACTATATTAGTGATTTTTTGAAATCCAGTACACAGTTATTAACTACGTATGCTGTACAACACATCAGTTTTACATATTCTTTCTATATACCTGAAACTTTGTATTCTGCCACCAGTATCTCTTTGATATAGGGGAAACTCCCAACCTGAAAGGTACCTGGGATGACTTCACATTCTCTAAAAACTGAAGAATGAATTTTAGGAACAAATGGAGGTTCTAAGCAGAATATATTTATGGGAGGAAAGAAAGCTCCTGTCCTAGAGAGGGACAAGAAGGGGAACCCGAGAGGGTGGTCTCCAAGAAGTTGTCTCCTCCAGGGACTTTTATAGAATAAAACCATGCTGTGAGGTGGGTCTAAGGTGCTGGAGAACATGGAAACTCGCTTAGGTGGGCATGAGGTGGGACAAAGCTATGGTCAACCAATGAGATTTCAAGCACCATTGCTCAGGTAAAATTGATTGAATCCAGTACCAAATGGGGAAGCGAGCCAGGTAGCAAGCAGGCATGAAAACGCGACAGGGTCTCTTCCTGTTGGGGATTGCATTTGTGATTCATTTAGGCTCTTTCAAGGTGATTGACACCTGCTTAGAACATCAATCCCTGATGTCCATCCCTAGGGAAGTGTGTGGCTGCATTTGTTTACTCTTTTGTCTTGAGGTCTGACCCACAGCGGGGCGTGTCTGTCTCCCAAAGTTGTAAAGTCACCTTGTCTTTTATATTGTCTCCTTGAGGCCCTGTCCCTGTCTAACTGCCTATAATATTTCTAAGTCTGCTGACTATAACATCCCCGAGAATTCAAGCTCCATTTCTCTAGCCCTGGTCACCATTTCTTCTCTGTACTTCTGAATTCACTGGTTTTGGATTCTGCATATAAGTGACGCTATGTGGTTTTTGCCATTCCGTGCCTAGATTATTTCACTTGCTACCTTCTTTGTTCATTCTTATTGCCACAAGTGATAGTATTCCTCCTTTTTTAAGGCTGATAGTGTTCCATTCTGTATATATCTTCTTTGCCTATTCATCAATTGATAGATATTTAGACTAATCTGTGTCTTAGCTACTGTAAATAATACAATTAACAGGAAAGTATAAATAACTTGTTGCATTACTGATTTGCTATACATACAGAATTGCTATATCATGTAAATCTTTGAATTTTTTGAGAAACCTGTATACTATTTTCCATAATGATTGTATTAACTTTTATTCCCACCAACAATGGGAAGGAAGTCCATTTTTTCCACTTCCTTGCCTCCATTTACTTCTTGTCTCTGTAATAATGGCATTTTAGGTCCTGAGTTCCCTCCCTGTACCAAAAACAATCATAACAACAATGGCCACTTTTACTAAAGTCCTACTGGTTGTTGGAGTGGAACACGTTTTCCATATTCCTGTTGACCATTTGAAAATTGTCTTTTGAGAAATATCTAGTTGAGTGTTTTCCCCATTTTAAAATTATTTTTTTCTTGTCATTGAGTTTTTCAAATTCTTTATGTATTCTTAATGTTAACTACTTATCATGTAATTGGTTTATACATATTTTTTCATCCTATAGGATATGTATTCTCTGTTGTATTTTTTTGCTATGCAGAACATTTTTAGGTTGATATTAATTCCACTGTGTAGCCTTGTGTTTGTTTCCTAGGTTTTTGTAGTCATATCAAAAAATCATACCCAAAAACAATGCCCACAAGTTTTTCTATGTCTTCTTCTAGATGATTCTTCTTCTAAATGATATATA